ACTAAACAAACAACCATCAGCAGTCTTGACATCAACATGAGCTGCAGTCATTTTTTGACCGTGAAGCACATATTATCACGGGCAAGATCCAAGTCAGGCAGCTTTTGCCTTGAATAACCTCAGTAATTAGCTTGAATTTCCTAAATGCAACTTTATCATTGTGCAGATCAGCTAAGCTCACTTCAAAACGTGACCCTTGAGAACATCAGATATGATTTTGGTTCCTTGAGTTCTCATGACTGGTGTTTTCCCAACACTTCTTACATTGAACATGGTTGGTACTTTCACATCACACCAATCTTCCTTAGAAAATAGGTCACTGACTTTCTTTCCTCTTGGCTCATTTTTTGCCGAGTGTCATAAGTATAAGTGTCTTGTTCTTGCCCACAACCCTGGTGCTGCTCAGAGAACCAAAGGGGTGACAGCTATTGTTTAAGCAGCTATCCTGTACCTGGAATATGACCAAGCCAATGCTTTCAAAAGCTCATAATCTTATGTAAAAATGCTTAAGTAAAAAAAAAACCCTCATAATACAGTGTCATAACTATTAGGACAGGGATAGAATGTACTATTGGATCTCTTCCCCTCCCTTTCACTTTTTCCTCTTTGCTCTACTTCCTTTGAGTCTCCACCCATCACCTCTCCCCTCCCCCACATCAGTAATTTCCAGGAAGAACTTGGACTGGGAGTCAACAGTTGAGTGCCAGACGATGGCTCACGGGTGCTTTGGGGTGAGGTGGAGCCCAGGGACTAGGGAGCACAGGCTGTAACAGGCTCCCTGATGCAGACCCCACCTCCAACATTTGTGGAGCCTGGGGCCAGAGCACAAACGGAGGCCACTTACCATCTGGGGAAATATACAAATGCTATAAATCAAGTTAATAAGCTGTTAACTAAAATATAGCTTCAGATGAATATAGTAAAGAATATGTGTAAAGCTATGGTTCCATATAATAGAAGTTGGAAGATTATCATAAATTGTATTTATTATTATTCATATATGGGTGCCCTATTGATGGTCTGGCACGTTTGGATAAGTGTGTAGGTACGTACACTGGTGGGGAAACAGTGACTCTCTCTGAGGACTGGAACTGCTGAGGAAGAGGAGTCTCATAGTCACTGATTTAGGCAATATTTAAAGACTCAGTGAGATTATGGGTAATTTTATTTTCTTTTTCTATTGTTCAGATTTCTAAAATAATATGTTACTTATGCAATTTGATTTAAGAAAACAACAACAGCAAGTCCAGAAAATCATTCTAGGATTAGGAAGTGTCCTATTAAGGTTGTGTTTCAATTTTTAGGTCTATATGATTTAAGGCATTGACTAAAGTTAACCTCACAAATACCAAATGTTTTCTTTAAGAGGTCATGGGGGAATAGAAAAATACCCAACTATCAAAATATAACGAATAGAGAATTTATATTTTAAAAAGAGAGAATGTGCAGTTTATTGCCTGACCTTCCTAGGCATATTATTTTTACAACTAATCAAATATTTATTTTCCAATGACCTCAGACATTTTGGAGTCTGGATTATTTCTACAACAAGGTATTGCATTTACTTGGTGATGTCAGCATTTCAAAGTGCTTCATGTCAATCTCATTTTACCTTCACAATGACTCCCTGGGAGAGGGAAGATGGTCAAGAGAACGAGGCTCAAAAAGTTGAGACTGGGCTTACATGTCACAACCCGTTCTTGGAGGAACAAGGACTGGAGCATAGGTTCTCTTGGGTCTTAGTTCAGTTCTTCTGCTACTGCTGTTAATAAACTTACACAATGAATTAATTTTCTGGATCATTCCTCAGAAATTTTTATAAATGTCTCATTGTTGGTTTTTAAAAAATGAAACGTATCTTTAAAAGGCAGCCACATTTTTCCTATGAGCTACTAAAGAAGACTCAGCACCCTTTTAAGAGATGCCTGACTCCCCGTAAGTAATTCAGCAAATGAGGATCTTTACAGAGAGTGCTAATTAGTGCTAAGTACCTTTAGAGATGATGCCTTCTAGGATAAGGTCCAAGGATACACCACGTGGGGTAGGAAATTATAATAACCTTCCCCTCAGGGACTTAGCTAATTTTCTGTGATGATGAGAGACCATAAGATTATTTTACTCAGTGCTTAAAATATACATAAGTACTATGTTAGTCTCATTACAAGATAAACAGCCTCCCATTTACTTAGTCTATTTCTTCAATTGGGAGTATATTGTAATAGCCAACGTTTTGCTCAGACTCTAGAAAAAGTGCACTTTAAAAAGATAATTTTGGGTAAAATGTGTGAAGAGGGTCAAAAGATGCAAAGTTCCAGTTAGTAAATAGTAAGTAATGTGGGTGTAATGTACACACAGTGACTATAATTATTAACACCGTACTGCATATTTGAAAGTTGCTAAGAGAGTAGATCTTAAAAATCATCATCACAAGAAAAAATTTGTAACTATGTATAGTGATGGAAGTTAACTAGAATTATTGTGGTGATCATTTTGCAATAAATACAAATATCAAATCATTATGTTATATGCCTGAACCCAATATAACGTTGTATGTCAATTATATCTCAATTTTAAAAAAGCACAGTGGTTTTTAGGGGACTTCCGCCAAGATGGAGGCATAGGTGGAAACACTTTGCTTCCTCACACAACCAAATCTAAAAATAATGAAGTCTTAACAACAATAATTGCAGCCAAGCCACAGAAAATCAAACAGTACGGAGTCTGACAACAACCAACTGCTCAGCTAAACTGGTGAGAGGGGCGGAGCCAGCAGCAGAGCGGGTTGGGCAAAAAAGATCCCCTGACCTGGGCCTGCAAGCAGCCGAGAGCTTGGATCCCAGGTGCAGGGTAGTGACGGGAGGACCCAGGGAAGACTCAGGGAAGCTGGCTGACCGTGGTCACACATTTGCGCGCAGATAAACCAGTGAAGATGTGAGCATTGAGACAGACCTCGCAGGCCCCAGCGCAAGGAGGCAGTCTCACTTTTACTCGCAGGTAAACAGGCTGGGTGGGGGGGGGCAGCGGTGAGGCAGACAGGCGGGAGGGAGTGGAGAGGACGGCTATTGCTCCTTCTCTGACCCCGCCCCCACATGCAGCATCACAAACCAGCGACCTGGGTGGCCCCGCCCTGGTGAACATCTAAGGCTCTGCTCCTCAAATGTAATAGGCACAAACAGATCAAAACATGGCTCAAGAACAACTCAGAGCACCAGAGCCAATAAATCTAAGCGAATAAGAAATTGCCAACCTATCAGAGGCACAGTTCAAAACACTGGTGATCAGGATGCTCACAGAACTGGTTGATTTTAGTCACAAATTAGAGGAACATATGAAGGCTAAACTAAATGAAATGAATGGAAATGCACAGGAAACCAATAGTAATGGAAAGGAAACTGGGACTCAAATCAAGGGAGCAGACCAGAAGGAAGGAAAAAATGACCAAACAGAAAAATATGAAGAAACAAGAATTCAAAAAAATGAGGAGAGGCTAAGAAACCTCCAGGACATCTTTAAACACTCCAACATCCAAATTATAGGGGTACCAGAAGGGGAAGAGGAACAGCCATGAGTGGAAAACTTCTTTAAACAAATAATAAAAGAGAACTTCCCCACTCCGACAAAGGCAATAGACTTCCAGGAAATCCAGGAAGCTCAGAGAGTCCCAAAGAAGTTGGACCCAAGAAGGAACACACTAAGGCACATCATCATTATATTAGCCAAGATTAAAATGAAGGAGAGAATCCTAGAAGCAGCAAGAGATAAGGGGACAGTCACCTACAAAGGAGTTCCCATCAGACTGTCAGTGGATTTCTCAAAAGAGACCTTACAGGCAAGAAGGGGCTGGAAAGAAGTATTCCAAGTCACAGAATCTAAAGACCTACATCCAAGATTGATCCATACAGCAAAGCTTTCATTTAGAATGGAAGGACAGATAAAGTGCTTCTCAGATAAGATCAAGTTCAAGGAGTTCATTATCACCAAGCCATTATTATAAGAAATGTTAAAGAGACTTATCTAAGAAAAAGAAGATAAAAAAGATGAACAGTGAAAGGACAGCAAACTCACAGTTATTAACAACCACACCTAAAACAAAAGCAAACTAAGAGGACAGCTAGATCAGGAGCAGAAACATAGAAATGAAGATCACATGGAGGGTTAGCAACAGGGGAGTGGGAGGAGAAGTGGGGAGAAGGTACAGAAAATAAGTAGCATAGATGGTAGACAGAAAATAGATAGGGGAGAGGATAAGAATAGTAGGGGAAATATAGAATCTAAAGAACTTGAGACACTTGCTCATGAACTAAAGGTGGGGGAATGGTGGGGAAGGGGTGTGCAGGGTGGAGGGGAATGAAGGGGGAAATAGAACAAATGTAATGGCAAAATCAATAAAATAAAAAAATTTTTTAAAAAGCACAGTGGTTTTTAAAGTTAAATCTATGGTGCTATTAAAAAAAGGCCATTTTATTTTTGTAATTTATGTTTCTGCAAATTAGTTTTTAAGATTTCACATTGTTGCAGTCCAGAATGTTGATAACTTAACTTCTGGCTCGGGAGTCCCCAAACCCGGGGCTGTGGACTGTGGCCAGCTGGCGACCTATTAGGAACCCGACTCAGAGCAGGAGGTGATTGAGCAAAGCTTCACTTGAGCTCCACCTCCTGTCCATGAACCCAGTCCCTGGTGGCAAAAGTTTGGGGTGTTCTAGCTTATTTGTTGTGACTTCAATGAGCTGCACATGAAGTAAAAGTCAAATGACCTCCCACCCACCCCCATTTGACACCACACAGATCAATAGCTATAATTAACTAATTAACAGACTATTGGCATGTCAATTGAAAAAAATTTCCACTGGAAAAAAGTTACAAAACCAAACCAAAAATCTCATGTGGATTCATTTTATTTTACCACAGAATCTTAAAGCAAATCTGGAGCTTCATGTAAAACAGCACTGCTCAATTAAAATGAAACAAAACAAACAAAAAAAGTCCTTTTTTTTTTTCAGAATATGAAGACAAATAATGGAATTCCCGTGTAATGGAACCAGTGCTTCTGCTATGCTGGGAAGAGGCCTGTGCTTGACCTAAACATCAGCTGCATCACAGAGCTATTTTACCACTAATAAAACTGAGGCATTTAGAGAATAAGGGGAGTCTTCAACAATTCTATAGTCAACCTTGATTTTAGGATTCAAAGACTCTTCGATCAAGGCAGAATAATGGGTCAGCAAGAACTGGTGTTTTTGCTGGAATAGCCGCTTCATGTGCATCTCCACGTGCAATGTAAAACCCAGTTCCCCACGTCAAATCACTGTCCAACGCCTCTTGTACTTTTGAATTCAGCTGTCACTACTACCTCTCAAATCCGTGGTGTTAAGATTGCTGTTCAGTCAGAACAAAGGGGAAAGCTAGTCACAGGAGCACACATACTGCATGGTTCCATTTATGTGAGGTCAAACTCAGAGAGTCAGAGAGCAGAACAAGTGGTGCCAGCAGGGAGGAGGAGTTTAGAAGTGGGAGCTGCTAATCAGTGAGTGCTGTGAGGGAGGGAAAATTCCCCCCTCTTTTGAATTCTTATGGCTGCACTAATAAAAGAATTGACATAAAACCAGATTAAGAGGAGAAAACCCAATTTAATACATGCACATAGAAGATCATAAATGTTACTCAGATAAATAATGAACCAGCTCAGCTTTTTACAAGTATACTTTTTTAGATAAAGAAACAATCAGTTTCTGAAGATTTGCTCTACAAGCTTCTCAGCCCTGGGCTCCTCAACTCCGGTGATAAGTGTGTCTTTCTCGGCCCCTCTGGAACAGGAGGGCACCTTTCACAGGGAAGATTTGTTTCCTGCATTCAAGGAGACAAGGGAGGGTCAATATGTCTACCGGTTGTTTGTCAAGTAACTTTAATCCAAAGTAATCAATATGCCATTGCGGGACACTTTGGAGTGGCCTGTCATGAGAGCATAATGTTTTAGCAATACAAGATGAGTAAGTTCTAGGGGTGTACTATACGACACTGTGCCTGTAGCTAATGATTCAGTACTGTACACTTAAAAATCTGTGAAGAGGCTAGATCTCATGTTGAGTGCTCTTATCAAAATAAAGTTTAAATTTAAAAAAAAAGGAAGAGGAAAGCAGAACAAAGAGCAAAAATGTCAGGAAGGAATGTAATTAAAGGACTAGAAAACACTTCTTTGTGGAAGTAAGGAAGGAGGCCCAGGTAGTGCACGCCACTGGGATGTTGCCTGTACTTTAGTGACACCATTCAGAGAGCTAGAGGCACTTGACTCAAGTCACCGAGGTGACTGGTGTCCTCTTCTGGAACACAGACCTTTCTTTGCTTTTGTTCACAGTGCTGGGCAAGAGAAAGGGCATCTGTTATTACCACCTAGAAGAGGCCGGCTTTATAGTCTCCCCGTACCTGTCAGTCAAGTCCTGTGTGATAGGACACTGCGTGCGTGCGTGCTCAGAGGAAGAGGAAAATAATAGAGATCAGGAGTAGTTTGAGTCCTTGTAACCCTGTTAATGACTTCGGCACTATCTCCTTGACCTTTCTTCTTAACACCATCTCCTAGATCTTTCTTGCGAGCATGAGCGCTCCTTGACAGAGGTATTCGGGGATGCACATTGTGTTTCCACTAGTCTGTCTGAAGATGAATAACATTTTAACTGTAATAGTATGATCAGTGCCTCTGACAGACTGGAGGGAAAAAATTAGAAAACATAGAAACCGGGCCTCTTCCTCCCCAGGGTGGAATTCAACAGTTACGTAGGCAGATACGTTTTATTGCTATACATTCATGTTATTCATATCTTTGTGATAACTATGTTGACACATTCATATAATTAATCTGTCCAATTGAAGAAATTAGCAGACTCCTCACATCCTTAGAAAGGGACTGCCTGCATCCTTCATTCACTGATTTCATACCAGCTTTGACCACAGTAGCAAAATAATTATAGTAAAAAGCCGCCAGCAAATCTTAGCATTTACAGTGTAGAGTTGTAATTGAACTAAAATTGCTCAGACATATGAAAAGGTCAGCTTTCCACAGCCCTTAGCATTTGTGTAACACCAGGGAAATATTAGTGCATCTGTTATTCTAAGTGGGCACCAGTGATTCAGAGAGCTAAAAGCAGCTAGCTATGTCTCAGCCCTTTTAAGTTTTCTTAGCCATTGATGCATGTTTTATCCTCTCAGCTAATGGCAACCTGACTTTTAGACAAGCAAACAATAAACAAGAGCAGAAACAAAACTGGTCCCTCTCTGGCCCTGACCAGTGTGGCTCAGCTGGTTGGGCATTGTCCCTCAAAACAAAAAGTCACCAGTTTGATTCCCATTCAGGGCACACGCCTGGGTCGCGGTTTGGTCCCCGGCTGGAGTGCCTACAAGAGGCAACCTACTGATGACTCTCTCATTCACATCAGCATTTCCTTCTCTTTCTCCCTCCCTTCCCCTCTTTCTAGAAATAAATAAATAAAATCTTAAAAAAAACTGGTCCCTCTCATTTTTATAGTTGAGGAATATATTTAACAGAATCTTTAAATTTCCATGGATATAAATCTCTAAGCACTACATTTCAGCTGCTTAAAAATCTCATAACGTCAGGAGTTACTCTTCTGAGCAGGCTGTAAACCTAAGCAGAGTTATTTTGGCATAACAGATACAATTTGCAGGGAGATTTAAACATGAGCATAGCTCATAACTGTCAACAAGTTGCACAAAGCCTTATTTCCTTAATCAGAACATCTGAATTTCAGGTGTTGAAATTTAGTGGGGAGCTGCTCCATCCGCCAGTGTAGCCTGACAACCGAGAGCCCCCCCTGAGGATTGGTAGCCTTGCAAAATCTGTACAGAGGTCCAGCTCTCTTCGTCTGCATGCTTTGGAATTTCCAGGAAGCCCTCTTCCCACACTTACTTGGGAAGAGAGAGTGGGCAGTCTGGGAAGCCGGTGCAGAATCTTAATGCGGACACTGCCAAACCTCAAAGCCAGCCCGTGATTTCACCAGGGCAAAGAAGGCCAGGGTGGCAGCACAGCCTGGTGGGGACACCCAGATGGCTTGGTGGGAGGGGCTTCATTGTCCCCCTCAAGCCACCACAAATGAAGAAGTAGTGTGCTTGCTGTGCAAATACATTAGAATGAGTCTCCCACCCCTTTCATCAGGCTCCATCCACAAAGACACTGTTGTTAATAGTAAATAACAACGTATAAAGTTATTGGCAGATGTTCCAAACCTTGACCTGCACCTAGAATTTTCTAATGCCGTACCGTAATAGAATCAGTCAGTCTGAGTAGCCTGGTCTGTGTGTGTATTAGGCTAAACCTAATTTTAAATTACTAACCCATTTGAGCTATGCAGCGCACACAACGGGGGATGGAGGATTAAACAGCGCACATGTACAGTCTCAGTAAAATTTGGTATGTAAATGAATCATGAGTACATGAATGCCGTATGCAGCAGCGGTAAATTCAACTCCCACAATCCCTCACAGAGCTCTCAGGCTAGTGAGGGAGAAGAAAAGAGGCAATTCTAAAGAATTCTTTGTCCAAAAAAGAAAAAAATAACCCTCCACAATGCTGTGGGGTCAGACCAGAGGGACACCCAACTCAGGAGGAAGTGCTGTTGAAGTGGGATCCTGCAGGGTGCGTAGGTGTTGGCCACGGGAGTCGTTGAGGGGAGGGCAGACCACTGCAGGCGGAGGAGAGCCCACGCTTCGAGGTCGGTGCTGAGGCGTCACAAAAGGCAGGCAGGAAACAGTCACATAGAGCCCTCCAAAGTCTTACGACATTTGGATTTTATCCTAAAAGCAATGGGGGCCATTGATGAGTTTCAGCAGATCAGTGATATGGTCAGGTCTGGATTTTAGAAAAATCATTCTCCGTTTGGAGCTTATTTCACATTAATACACTCTCCTTGACATTTTGCAAATGATGATGATTATAACTGGATGCATTGTTGTCTTTTTATAATATGGAAATAGAATATTACTCCCATAGGATACTATGTAATGCATGTTGTGTTTTAAACGACTGTGATGAATATAAAATAATAGCTATTATTATTATAAATAACAACAAACATTTATTACAAGCTTACGGAATGCCAGAAATAGTGCTAAACTTGTTGTAAATTATCCAGCTTAATCTTTGGGAAGTAATTTTTACCAGGATGCTCGATTGACTGATTTCTCTAAAACCTTGTCATCACCAACCAGGCTGTTAGGAGACCAAACACACCATGAAGACACCAGGACCTTTAAGTGTGTGTGGAAACTAGGTACCAGTTTAGACTCTTGCTGAAGGATTATTTTCCAAATGCTAGTGCACTGGTTTAAGAAACTTTGGAATCAATTTTATTGGTGTCCCCATTTGCATGGAAGGAATCAAGGATTACATTTAAATCACTTGCCCAGGTCATACAGGAAGCAAACAATGGGGTCAGGATTGTAGTGCTGGCTATCAAAGGAATTTCGAATTTCGACTTCACCCAAATTAGTCAGGAATGATGATCATTAAAAACTTAGACTTGGTGATATTAGCATGTCTTCATTTTAATGAAGAATCTTGTGGGAAAGTGGAACTGAAACTACTAAGAAGGTGACAACAGCTTTGTATCAAGGATGGAAGGCTGTGGTGAACCTTGGGGACCAAGCCATGAGTTTCCCAATACCAAAGGCCTGGGGGTGGGATCTGGATAATGTGGCCAGTGGCATATCTGATCTATGTCATAAACACCAAGCAAACGTGGGATTTTATTTTCGTTAAAATAACAACCAAGGTAAACACCGAAGTTGCTTCTCTAGTACTTGTTACCATCCTTAATTATGTTTTCCTGGTGCATGCCCCTATCTGGGAAGTTGCATATCCTCTCCTAATCTCCTGTGTGATGGTTACATCAGAGGAAGAAAACATTGTGCTGTTGTTAATTGCTTGCTTATTTGGCTGACATTTCTAAACCCACACAAGAAAGCCCATAGCTTTCTGTTCAAGAATGTTTTAGAGCAGCTAAATGAGCATACAACTGTTGACATACTAACTGAAAGGGCTGACTCACATTACTCTGGAACCAGTGCGGGATTCTTAGATGGTGACACCTTAACAGAACTTGTGTGTTCTTAAAAATACCCCATCCCTTCCTG